CACGGAGTACCAATATAAAGACGTAGACTGTGAGATTAAGGGCGGCAAAGTAACGTGAAATAAAAAACAGCAAGTGGATGGTCGTATTCAGCGCTGTAGTGTTAAATCAATTTCGAGCATCATTTGGAAAAATGAAAATGTTCTCGGGAAGGAATCAACTTTCTCAATAGGTAGTATACTAACCTCTCGTTGGCGTATTACGTCAAAACGAGAAGATCGTTCGACGAGTGTAGAAGAATATGCAAAAGAGGGAGTATCACGGGCAAAACGAGTCACGTATATGAAAATACAGGGGTAACGTCCGAGAATCGACGGCCGATCGAATATATTTGATAAGTCATAGCAGCTGGGTGATCCTCGGAAAGCGCGGTGATGGTGATGTCTACGTACTCGTTAAGTGGCGGCCAGGTAACTCTTTGCTGCGGACATGGAGAGGGAATCAATCGGTAAAGCAAGTCCGAAAGATCGGTTTCCTTTCTTGTCTGCTGGATCACATCGTAGCTTCGTGACTCTAACAACGCGCTAGATGATATCGAGCGCGTCGTTTCGAAATTATCGTCGAAGATATCGTAGATCGTGGATATTGTTATGATGGGAAAAAATGGACGAATTGATGAATTTTATTACTGAATGTATATTCTGGCTTCTGGCCTCTGAATTGATACTAATTCGCTACTATTAAAACCTATGAAGTGTTTATTAAAACCTAAAAAGTTTTATTTGTATTATGATTTGCAAAAATATTTATAAAAATTCCTGAGATACTCCCCTTTTTATTTCTTTTTAATTGCTTATAAATTTCTGTTTGTTTTTGTGAACCAGCATACTGTCTAGATTATATTATTTATAGTAGTTGCAAAAAGTATTTGTACACACTCTTATTTTCTAATGAAGCGTTTCATTTTTATTAGATTCTACGTTTCAGTTCCATATATAGTATCAAATTTCTATAATAATATGAAAGTATTACTAAGTGATACGAAATTTGTAATGGCTGAACTTACTTAACTAGTGTGCATATAAATCTAATAATAAATATAGTGGTGTACAGATACGTTTTGTCATTATTGCATATGTTAAGTTGTCTTCTAATAGAACTTGCCAAAATTTCGTTCTTCTTTATTAAATAAAGAAGTGCTTCTGTTTTTATATTCGTTAATGAATGTCAAAATATACATGTCAGATGCTCTTGTAGGTACCGTAATATACCCCCGGCGATAACATGATGACGTTAGAGCCAATTTAATTATATACAGGTTATCTTGGAGTAGAACAAAAGACATCCGTGTGGCGATTGATGTTCCTTACTATAGTAGAATCATATATACAATAGTAGACTTACTGCATGTGTGAGATGTGATAGTGTTTGCGACTCATATATGGATAGAATAATTTATTTTATTGCCATTACAAATAACAACGAAAGTTATGACACTCGAGTAATGAAGTAGTTGGCGTATCACTCGCTATCCGATTATAGTTGAGAAGCTCAGCAGAAACACTGGATAAAGATAAATTGCTTTGATCAGAACTAGCAATAAATGTTATAACTATTATAAAACTTAACGAGGGTGCAGTAAAATATCGATTATCCGGATAAAGATTTGCAGGATTTCAAATTCATCAAGCTTACTGATGATCCGATCAACAGAAATTCTTACTGAAAGTTATTTGTATTTATTATGGATGGAAACTCATCAAATTTAGTATCTTATATTTAAAGCTTTCACGTGAATGATCTATGTAACTCGTGCATAATTATCAATTTATCGAGATTAGTCGTATCTTAAGCTATATGTACAATCGCGTTAGAAGATTCACATTGCATTTAACTCGAATTTAACTAATATATAACGCGTCGAATATAGGTAATAATTTTGTCTTATTTTTCCATGATATGCCACTACCATATATCCGATAACTTGATTTCATCCAAATGATCAATCGCTTAATTTACTCGATAAAGATCTTTTACTGGTTATCTATTACAGCACATGACTGGAATACTAAGCAAGGGAATAATCATGGTGCCAAAGGCCACTTCGAGGTTACAGTAGCTTCTACAAACAACCCCATACCCCGATTGCGTTCTAGGATATAACTGCTGTTCATACATTAATATCTCCTTGAAGTAGTGATCCGTCTTCCTAAAGAGTACATAAAGGACGAGATTACTATGGATCAAATAGATAAGGAATATTGAAGGGAGACGGTAGGGAAAAGTATAAAAAGTTAATTTCTTTTCGGGTTTACATGTAATGTTTCGAAAATTTCGGTCTGTAGTGCATAACTTTTAAATTTCCTAACCACGGATTATTAGTTCATCCATCTATGGGAAAATTAAAAGCGTAAAAATATACAGGGCGCATACAACGCACAAAAATAAAAAAAAACACACTATAATATTTAATATGTGAAACAAATCTTTAAGATTTATTTGTTTGGTTACATTCACAAATAATATGAAATTTCATGAACATCCATAGTCCGTTAATAATTTAACATAATAATACAATATTTTATTGAATGTATTTTACTTGTAACGGTTCAATAATGTTCGTTTTTAGTGGCAAAAGTGAAATCCTATTAGGCATAAAATTGTATTCTTAAAATATGTCTTCATAATTGAGGCATTTCGTGCGCTCGTCGGAAGTCTGTGAACAGACATCACAGTTTTTTGATGCGTCTATCAATCTACTTCATGTTCTTGCCCTTAGGACAAAAGGGAGAAGGCAGAAGCCAATATCTCCCTTGTTTCTTTGAGAATCTCTTCATTCCAGTCGGCTAGCGATGGACGCACATTTTGTGTCCCAGGAAATAATTTCATTAATCCGTCATCCTCATTTTTCTTCAGATTTTTCATGAGATTACTTTATTTTCTTTTATTTCTTCGTTTAAGGAATGTCTATTATCAATTTTATTCGTTTCATATATTAAATATTTGAGATATTATGTTTTTGTATAATAAATTATATATTTTTTTAACCTTACTGTATATAATATGTACAATTTACGTTTCTAAGAGATTTTCTTCAAAAGATTCCAAGAAGAAAGTTAATAATTTAATACTTGACAGCCGTATACTAGTAGCGAAACCTTATTTTCCAAAGCACATCTTTCTACTATACTTTTACATCTAACTGCAAAGAAATTTTTTACCATCTTTGTTTTCCAAAAAAAAGTATAAGAAATTTCTCGTAACATTTACGTAATTGTATATCATAGAACACTATACGTTACAATTTTGCTACGTAGACTTAGAACATAGTTCTAATATTCCACATTTCGTGTTCTCGGTTGCCAATGTCCCTGTAATATCAGATTTACTCTCGTCATTACATCCGCCATTACGGGCAGAGATGGTCAGCTTCGAAGAAAGTATACCTCAGACTGAAATGGTTTTAATGAGACCTGCCGTGTCAATTCTGAAATATCAACTCAATATGTAACTACGATTTAACAGTAGCCTATTAATTTAATCGCTACGATATACACGTCCGATCGATTTGACTTGGTTAATAGGAAAAATGGAACGAATAACTAAGTATAGAGAGAATAAATGAGTATAAATGAGTAGGTGCAAGAAAGTAGCTGTCGTCCTCATTGGCATCGCACATGCTTGTTACTACGTCTAACAATACCTAACTGCTAGGGTTTCGATTTTAAATTGAAATTCGAATTGCAGATAGCGTTCGAAAAGTACTTTGAACTTGTTGTGCATCGGGAACACCAAGAGAGGATACGGGATGGAGTGCGGAAACACTCGACTGCACCACGATTGATCAAAGTGTTCACTTCGAAACGATGATGCATTGCTTCGCTGTATTTGCTTAGTAGTAATCGATCAAATTTTCATTCTGCAGAAGTTTTCCAGTCAAATGATCAGATCTGCTTTATTCCTTTTCTCTCTTTTTTCTCCTCTTTGTTCGCTTTCTCTAAGATACTGCAGATTGGTCTGATTTTTTGCGTTTATGTTTCAGAAGATGAAAATAGAGAAATGTCAAGTACCAGCGAAACAAATATTCATGTAAATTTAGATTGAGAAAGTTGTAAAATTTTGATATCAATTGAAATGATTGAAGCTTTTACGAGTTTCCTGGTATAAGAAACAAGCTTTCTGAAAGGAAGAATAAATCTTTACACCGTTTATTTACAGTCCGTTTTAATTTCGCGAATGCCACGCAGATTTACGTTCTCGATGGAAAGTTTTAATTAAAATCGGGTTCAACTCTGTTTGACGCTCTGGAACCGGAGTACATTGGGTGCGTTACCTTCACAATCAATTATTCTTATATTAAAATAGAAGGTTTTGAGACGTCTGGATCAACATAATGGATTAGCTTCATGTAAATATCTAAATTAACTTATTATAAAATTGGAATCCCAAAGTAGTGGCATATACTTTGATAGAAACAAAATATGGAAGTACATATAAGTTGTTCAATAATTTTGGTAAAAATATTAAATACCTAACAACCTTTCTTTTTACCTTATTAGTATATTAATTTTAATATGAAGGATGAGGGAAAAGAACATGGAATGTCATAAAATAGCTTTATCGAAAGGAAATCAATTTTTAATACTTTAGTCTACCGATAAGAAAGATTCGACGAATTTAATTTTGTATCATACATAACGTGAAATTTATATCCCGGAAATATGAACGAAAGAATAATTATTTTACGTTATCTTAATTTTTTTTCCAAGATAAACACTACAAAATTTACTACTACTCTATTTTGAAAATTCTAATTTACTCCTCTCCAAAAGTCTTTTTTACCACACCAACATTACCAACTGCAATAAAAAGCATTAAAAGCTACAGATACATTTCTCCCATCTTCGATGCTCGAAAAAATACATAAAAGTCTTTATCGAGTGCACATAGCTCACAAAATAGCGCATCTTAAAGTACGAGACGTAATTTTACTGTCATTCTCAGCAATTTGGAAGGAGATAGATTTCTATGTAATATAATATACACACGGCTGTGAGCACAGTTGTTCGTAAAACTGGTTTATTACCCGTCTAAGTAGACATTTCATCAGTATCGTTAACTACCGAATAGCAATGAAGACAAGCCAAAGCCCATTGCTAGTCGTTCGAAGCGTGACAGGATCCGATGTCTGTGGCGCGTTCCGTTTCATCTTCGCACCTGACTGTAATAACAACATCCATCGAGAGTTAATGACTTTTGCTACCTAGATCATACGATGTTGGGTCACAATTTCGCGCGTACACGCGTACTCCCAAATGAAGTTGGCGGAAGTCATTGGTGGAGTGAGACAGGAAGAGAGCTGCAACAGCTCCCGCGGGTGTAGATGGGCTGCAGGCAAAGTCCGTTAGTTCCACGTGTCGTTACGGTTTATAAGCATAGGATGCGTTCGACGTTGCACTACAGCGCGGCGGCGCGCGGCAGCTGAGTTCAATGTACCCGGTTCAAGTCAGCGAGTCGCTTTAACATCCATCCTCTCAGTCAACAGATATCTCTGAAATAGATGCTACGTTACTCTGGCGCAAGAAGAAGGAGGAACAGAGACTAGCCGGCCGGATATCGACTTACAATTTGACATGGACTAGGTACCTGTCACCGTTAAGTCCGAGCCGAAGAAAAATTTCGATCGTTCACCGCATATCGGCCACGTCTCTCTTTCCGTATCCCCCGTTTCAAAGCCACAGGAATTCGATCGACTCGCTTCTAAACGAAACATTCGTCTCGATTATCCTCGGCTGTCGCCTTGAACGTGCAGATCAAACTCGATGCGCAAGAAATACTATCCCTGGTCCACCTGGTCTGAACCTCGAATATCCCTCTCGGTTCTCTGATTTCCGACCAGCAAGAAGTCGGGACGTCTCCGCAAGTCTTAAGAGATCGAATCGAACGGCCATTAATTTACATTAATACATCGCGTTGCAGGTGGTAAGCCATTTGGAAATTTCACGGTGTTACTCAATCCTCGATTAACACGTCGACATTTCTCATCCTTGTAATTGTCACGCTATATTTAGCGTGGAGTCTTTAACAGCTTCCACTATTGAGCATTTAAACGACCGTATAGAGAAAGTATGTACACTCATATTTTATGGAAATGTGAATAAGGTTGTACATGGATATACTTGTCTCCTAAACAACATCTGTATTTCTGAGAAACTTGTTTTTTGAAGATGTACACAATATTGTTTAGAGATTTATTTTGAACTTGTTTCGAGATTTGTTTTTCGTATATTCTTCCGAAATATTTTATATTTTTTATGTTTCTATAGTGCAAATTTTTTATTGTTATAAATTTTCACGAAGGGAATGATTGATTTGAAAATTACATATCTACGCACTGTATTTCTTAAATATTATACGCTTATTATACTTACTCGTGACATTTTATTAAACTATGAAAGGAAGCGAATCTTCTGATAATATTCTTTTCTCGGCTATAAATTTCATATTTCAAAAGCAACCGTATATCAAAAAACGAATTTAGATACTTAGCGATTAATGTATGATTCGGTATAACAAAATCTTTATATTAATTGAATAAAAATATCTTAAATATTATTTACAAATTCTTGAAAGTTAAGAAAACTTCATTATCAAAAAGTCAAAGACCACCTAAAATCAAATTACGTTAAAATCGATTAAAATTCCTGTCTCTAAAATTCGATTAAAATGACAAACGTACGGAGTGTTTGCAGTAAAAGGAGAATCTTTCTTTTTCTGATTCGCGGCTGGTTTGTCCTCTGGATACTCTGAGCGTTCATCGCCAATTAAATGCGTCGATGTGCCGGCCCTTTTAATCGATCAGGGTTGGAAAAAAAAAGTTGGTAAAATGTGGTTCGTCGAAGAGAACATCGGAGGACTTTGTCCCGACAAGAAACCGATTCTCACTGTTCGAACTGGTTTTAACGCTCGATCGGTGTAATTTGCGAAATTTATAGTCCCTGAGAGTGGCGGTCGTGGTTGTTGGGAGAATCGCTGCGTTAACGAAGCTTGATGGAGCCAGCCGACATATTATCACGGACCGTGGCGCGGCGCACGACTGTTGTTAATTAATTATAATTCGAGTCGCGAAGGGTATTCCCCTTGAAGCTGGAGCAACGGAGCTCGACCACCGCCGACAACGTAATACTCCCATCGTATTCCTTCTTCTGATCCATGCTTCGTGACTCGAGGGAAACGTAGTCACGATAAATGAGACCGTGCGATGATGACGAAGCGGCTTACGCATGCTTTTCTTCCACGGTGAGCAGTTCAACCGACGTAAGAAAGAAGAAAGAGACAGATGGAGGAAGGTGTACGTATGTTATATGGATATATAAAAAGAAAGCCGGATCGAGAAGATGGTAGAGAGAGAGTTGCAAGGTATAGAAGAGTTGGTACGACGACTAGAGAGAAGCGAAGCAACTATGATAGAAATAGAGTGGGGAAGAGATAGAGGAGAGGCATTAAATGGAAGCGGCGAAGCGGGAAGAAGGAAGAGCGAGTAGAAAGAAGGACAGAAGGGAAGGGATGGCACGAACATAGCCGGATAGCCGCGTATAATGCATAAGAGAAGCGGGAAAGAGTAACGAACTGGCAAGGTCGAGCGTGGTAGGCCAATGTCTCGTCCTCGTAGTACGAGGTGAACCAGCGCTGCTGCAACTGCCTCCTCGTGGCTCGCTGCCGTTGCCACTGCCGCCACCGCCACCACCATCGGTCACTACCACCATCGGCCAACACTACATACTATCATCGACTCGTCGTCTTGGTTCCTCTGCTGCAGCTGCAACGGTCCAACACGCCGACCTATGAGGCCCGGGGAACGGTGAGCGGCAGGCCTTCCTGCAGCATTGCAAGGTCGCAACTATGAGAAACCGGCCAGAAGAAGAGGAAGTAGCGGAGTGGGAGTGACGCTCCTGTGGAACGCTCGACGGGAACGATACCGAGAGAGAGATACCATGAACTTGAAGCGGGGCTAAAGGAGCCTGAGGGGTAAAACGTGAAGTCAAACGTAGCGCTGCTATTGCCGTGGATGCGTAAATCACTCGCTTCTTTCACACCCGTGTTACGTAACTAATTCGACATCGGCCATTTCGGTCACGTGGCGAGATCTCACTTTCCAGAGCTCATGAATAGAAAACTGACACATCATTCTGACCTTTCTTCCGCGTTTCTTACAATTTTATGCTTTTTTGATTCTAGAAATAGGAAATTTTAGAATGATGATGGACATTGCGATGAAGCAGTTGGTTGTTGGGAAAGGAATTATGAGATGTGCATTGTGCTTTTCCATGAAAATCCTTATACTAGAAATTAATAGTATCGATTTTTGTATAAAAATTCCTGCATTAGGATTGATAATATCAAAATAGAAGAACAGTTATATTATGATTATATATGTTAAATCATATTACCAGCTATTGTATCCTTGGCTATATGAAGCATAGGTTGTTTGCTTTATTATCATAAGTAGTACTCTTTAGTAGTATAATACTTTTTATATAAAGTATCTCCAATTATACAAAATATTAAAAGTACGTATAAATACATTTTGAAATATAGGTATATACAAATATATGTTACAAATATATAAAGGAAATACGAGAAATCTCATTTCTCGTATAACTAATTAAAATACGATACCATCCTATATCCCTACATCCTTGTTATATCATCCGCATATACACGGTACCCAGACCAAGCTATAACTTTTCAATGGGAATCTCTGCTAGAATTCAACGAATCTTCGCAGAATTTCCGCCTTATATCCTCGATACGCTTAATGTTATACCATTCATTTCGAGAGTCCTTCACAAAACGGAGCTACAGTTGCCCCGGCGAACGAGAACGGGAGAAAGGGAAGATCACTGAATCGAAAGGAGAAGGAGCAAATAAAAGAAGGAGAAGCATAAACAGGCAGAGACGAAGTAAGTCCAATCTATCGACTCTTACTCGGAACGGGAGGATGCACCTATCTACTCTGCTCCCGCAGCGTTGATCGTACAGAGAGTTAGAATCTCCTTTATCTCTTTATCTCCCTCTCTCTCTCTCTCTCTCTCTCTCTCTCTCTCTCGTTCCTCTCCCTTCTCACCTTTCTCTATCTTTAGATATCTCTGTCTCTTCTTTTGCATATTGCATTTTGTGTCTACGTGATTAACTCGCATGCTTACCTAAACCTAATATACCGAGGAATGTGTGTTCGCACGGTTCCCCACGCGGAGAAGATATCCACCCATCGTTAATTCTCCGAACATCATAACGATGTCCCAAGGTAATTTGAAAATCCTCATTATCTTCGAACCGGGAGGAGCCTCCGCATGCACACGTAGTGCAGAGGGTATACTGCTTTTCGTGATCGAGCGTAGATCTTGAATCGATAGCCAACGATATTCGTCACCGCTCGAGAGAGCTTCGTATTATTCATTACGCGAAATCAGAGAATGGTCACGAACGGATTCATTAAGGCGCGCTAACGTACCGATCAATTTAATCCACAGAGAGTATGGTTTACAATTGATACAAGATGCTTTATTGAATAATCTGGCATCAGAACCTTATTCGGTTTAAACCGGTGGATCCCAATGTTCGAACCATCTAACTTTGCTAACGAGCTACACAACTCGAATCCGATCTTGGCGATTTCTCCACCAGTTTGATTGTTTGCCAATATAGAGTTGAACGATTATGATTGTATTCAATGAGATTCTTATTTAAAGCATCACACGCAAGTTGGTATATACCGTACTGTGCTGAAACAGAATTTGATTTCATAAATGAATGTAAAAGTACTTGGTCGTATTTTGAATCTATTGTTATCCTTTAACAAGTATTGAATTCAAGAAGTATTGGTAATTTGTTAAAAAGATGTTGATTAATTTGGTGTAATATTATGTGTGGTTATTTATCGTTTCGATAGGAAAAATTTCTTAGAAGCTCTAGTTAAATAATCATTCGACGAATCTACTATCTTATTGTTGGTATTTCAAGCTGCAAGCACTTCAAACAATTTTTATATAATTAGTATAACTCAATTTTAATAAATATAACGAGTAAACGTTATAATATTTATAACTATATATGTAATTCAAGACTTTATTTATTGAATTATTTTTTAAAAATTTTTAAAGCTGAAAGGTCTAGGAATAAATACAATCATAAGGAGAATGTCTAAAAATTTGTCTCCGTGTAACCACCGTAGACATATTTCATAAAAATATACAATTAATTGTAATTATAAAATCATTCTAAATGGCTTAGGACTTTTGTAAAAATACCATACATACACCGCGCTGCTGAAAAATATATTTTCTATTATTTTTCAGTTTAAAGCGCAATTCAAAATATAAATGGTCTTTCACCTTGGTGTTTCATGAAATATGCATACGAAACAGGTGCGTGCATGTATTTAATATTTCGGAGCCAGTGTAGCTACATTCGCGTATTAAATACGTTTCATTAAGGTAAAAAATTTCAAGTAAAGGGGCGTGTATAGTTTCTGTAGCGTAGCTTGCGAACATTGGTTTACAAGTTACTGTAAAATGAATTCTAAAAATATAGAAAAATAATTTCTGGAATTAAGTCGTCGGCGAAATTTTCCCACTTGTTTTATGTAGAAATCGAAACTGAAATATTTTATTTCTTATATTACAATTTTATTACAATTTTATTCCCTTTTTGATTCTCTTTCCTGGTGATTAAGACTCCAGAAGATATTAACTTTTATTCATTTTGATCTCTATATTTATATTTATCTGAAATTATATCTTAAAAGTGTTACATAATTGCTGCGTTTTATCTACTGCTTATGTTCTACGTGATCGTAATAACCTATTAATGTAGGGCTTGAAAGATAAGCGAAGAACGATAAAAAGCAAATAGTATTATTTGAAAGGCAGTAAAATGAAAGGTGCACATTTAATACTATACATCATTATGTTAACAATAATTGAACTGTTATAGATAAATTAAATTATATTAATGTATAGCTACTATAGTTGCACGGAAATGGAAGAATTATCTGTTTGGATATGATTATCGAAATTTCATAATAATTTGTCAAGTATATATCTAAAGATAAAATTGAATAATTTTAAATTTGCGAATATTTAAATCTGCTGAATGCTGGAAATCTATGTAATCCATGAAATTGAATAGTTAGTTTTTGAAATATTTTTAGTATTTACGTTTATATTTCAACTTTGTTAGGATTATACGACGTTTCAGCGCTCGTTTCAACATCAAATTAAAAAAAAAATAATCTTTCTAAAAGATTAAATCGAAAATAATTGAGAATTAACTCTTGTAAGAGAAGAAGTTTTAGATTTCCTTTCCATAAAAATGAAACCTTTTGTAATTACATTTTAATTAAAAATGCGCAATTAACGCGAAGAATAAAGCGTCATCCTATTTTCAAAATAAAAATAGTAATAAATTTCTTGCAACAACACGTTTAATTGTTAGTCCTATCTTCACAATTTTACGATCATACAATTCTTAATCATTTGTTACCTATAGTATTATCAATACATGTAACATTTTTAACACAACTGAAACAATCAGCAAACGATGCACTGGTCGTTCGCAAAATATTTTTCGAGGCCGTAATGAGCTATTGAACGGTTTTCAATACAACACGATACGATTAAACATTTTCTCTTTACAATTTGCGCTCCATTTCGTTTGGAGCTATTGTAGAATGGCCGACAAACACTTGCGCTCATCGACTAATGACAAAATCGTTGTACAACACCACCCAGATTATTTCCTCCTTGTCGTTATAACAAACGCTTTTAGTCGCGAAGCTACAAAACGAACAATAAACATCAAATTGCGCTTGCGCGCGTTCTGTTGGCGGCGTTGTCCGTTCGCGAATCGGTGCTATGATACATTAACCACGAATCATAGCGGCGCGATTCGCGGCGTGCGAGAGGCGCGAGTTCGGTTTTGCCTCTGCAAATTCTATTGGCCTCCGTGCGCGTATTTCTCCGTCGAAACGGTTCCTCGTGTCTCGATTATGGGCAAAATATTCGACAAACAAAGCACAGTAGCCGTGCAAATACTCTTTGTTCACGGTGGTCGGCCGAAACTTCTCTATAACATGGCTCTACGGCATTGTGGCAATGTTCAGACCCGTCGACAAAAGCAACCTTTCCCTTTGTTCTTTCTTCATCTATTTTCCGATTATCCTGTTCGTTTCTCTCCTCCCACTTCTCTCTCTCTCTCTCTCTCTCTCTCTCTCTCTCACTTTCTCTCACTTCCTCTCTCTCTCCGATCTTTGCTCTCCGTCGCTCATAAACGAACGATACCCAACACAAGCTTCACGTGCATACAACCCAATCTCTTTCGTTTACCCTCTTTGTTCAGCTTTTTCGTTTTGAGAATATTTACGCTATCGCACGGCCTCGTTTGTTACCTGCTGCGGCACGGGGCCGATAATTACGTTGCGGCCGTTTGTTTTAACGCTAATAACAACCCGTGACCCTCGAACGGCCACTACAGCCCCCCTACTGTCCCGGTGGTTGGTGCAAACCAGCGGCCAGCCTCGTGAATCCTCTCTTTAACCTGCTGCGTTGTTTTTCGTTGTCCTTATGCATTCGTTGTGCAGATATTTAATCAAGCCATCCATAATTTCTCGATCGCCGATAAGGCGGCATAGCTATTTCCTCATAATAATTAATTCGGCCCGCGTCTCCTCCGCTTGTAACGGATGTGATTACGTCTTCTAGTTCCTCGTTCGCCCATTCACCGTCGTGTTATTTATAATTGAACTAAGCCAATTGCGTACCATCAGCACATCCTTTCTTGATTCATTACGCTTTGATCGTGATTACCGACAGCTTTACGGACCAACGCCATAAGCCGCCTTACGTGTAGCTTCTATGTTGATTTTTATACACATGTGCTTCTAACACGTTTTATTGCAATTGAAAGTGCTGATACATTTAAAGGGATGTGAAACACGTTTAAGTGAATAGCAGCTTACGCGATGAAACAATCAGCTTTTTGTTCGATAACATCGGCTTTTCTTATTTAACGACCAGTTTTAATATTTGTTTTATACTCATTGCGCGTTTTTTCTGGTTAACGTATTTAAGGTTTAAATCGCCTGTTTTCAGATACTTTAGAGAGGTAATCCGACTTGGTGCATATTTGATGCGATGCATTATATCTAGGTTTGGTAAATAAGATTTTATAAAATAAGTACCGGATGATAAATCCAGGTAGAGTAATCTTTTTAGGTATTTGTTTCATAAAAAAGACGAAGCATAGGGAATATCTGCTTTAAAAATAAACGTGAAAAGGGAAATAAAAGAATTTTCCGTTGCTAATGGTAATTCTTTGTTTTCTGAAAATAAATAGTAAGCAGAAACATGTGAATTACCTGTAACACCGTAAAATATTTCACTGAAATATCGTTAATTTTCTCTCTTACATATCTGTGCATGAAATTGTTATTCCCCAGTTTGTTATTTAATACGTACAAAGCTCGTATCTGAAATTTGATATGTTGAAATGAAATGTATAAAACAACAGAATAATCGTACTATGTACTTACTTCATTATAAGTTAATATAAATGGATAACTATAAATTAGATTAAATTAGAAACTATCAGTATTTTATTACCAACGAGAAAATTGAAAGCGTTTGTGCAAAAATAGATTATTAATTCTTCCAGGATCAAATTCTTCTTTGACTGTGGGAAAAAAATTTTTTTAATCAATTGTTAATAGTAAGACACGTTTTGCCGTCTTTTTATGTCGTTATAAGAAAGATGTAATAGATGACAATCTAAGATCAAAAAACGGATATATTTATCATAAATAATCATTTAAATCATAAATCAAGTGGAGGTACATTAAATTTGTTTAAAAGAACGTTTTAAAAATATACTCGGTATAAAAAAATATAAGCTGGGCGATTACCTT